AAATAAATTTAGGCAAGTGATATTCGTAGTACTCTTAATAAATACTCATTTTTTTGTTTTGATTTTTTTAAAAAGATTAATGACAAAAATACTCTAAATATTTTAATTCTATTGTAATAAAATCCTTTCCTACTAAATACTGACAAGATGATGTGGTTAAAATTATTAAGCCTGGGTCCAAGAGAGTAATTATTTCACTTTAAAAAGTGAAGTGCGTTAAAGCTTTATCTCATTTATAGAGAATTATTTGATGGATGGTCTCCTTGAGAATCTCTATAAAAAATTATGTAGGGCTCTCAATCTTTGAAGATCCAGAAGTTATTTCGTCCATGTATGAATGTGTGATTTTATAATGTATGAATGTGCGATTTTATATATATAATTTTTTGGGGTGAGATCTTGTAAATTTGTTATATATTTGTGTTTTTGTGAATACATCTACTTAATGTCTGTATATATATATATATATATGACTGTTGTGTGAAATGTTTCTCTATAAAATTGTACTATATATATATATATATATATATATATATATAATGTGTGATATATGTCTCTCCCCAGACGAGTATCAAGCCAAGCTCGATTTGCTTGCGGATATTCCCAGCATTGATGTAGGAACTCAAGCACTTTGCTGCATTATCGAGTCGAGTTCGAACAGGCTGCTTGCTTGGCTTGGCTCATTTGCAAACCTAGATGTGGGTGAGCCATTGCCACTGCAAGGCTAGCTTGATGCAAGTGAGCTCTTGAGTCTGCCCCCAACATAAATATTTTACGATAATCAAACATCAGGAAAAATATATATATATATTTTACATTTAAACAATTGGAGCTTAGGAAACTAATCACACTATGTAAAATTACCACATACCAGCTAGGGTTTTTTTTTTAGGAAACCAACACACAAGGTTATTTATTTATTTATTATTATTATCATCTAGCAAACCACTTCAGATGCCAATAACTTCGAAAATTAAATATTTATTCATATGTAAACTTTTTTTTTTTTTCTTTTTCTGAAAGGTAAATTTAAATTTATAGACAAGGATAATTATAGGTAGGGGCCCAAAGTAGGCCCAATGATAATTAAGGTAAGGAAAAGGCCCATAGGCTTAATGCCAATTGGAGCAAGGAGGAGCTCTCCATCATTCACCACGGTCGGGGGGTTTCGCCGGCGGCAGATGATCGATGGAGGTAGATCCCATTCCTGAATGATCCGGCTGGAGTTTCTTGAGGCGTTGATGGTAGGGCTGCAATTTGAGCGGGTTGGGCGAGTTTAAAGTATAACATGAGTGCAACCCACCACATGAAATGCTAAACCCAAACTCAACCCTAACCCTAGCATCAATCTTAACTACTCAACTCAAACCCAATCCATCATTCTATTTTTAAATTCGAGCTTGCAACTCAGGCTTAGATTCTGGGTAAAAATTTCAGATTAATACGGGTTACTCATATGGCTAATCCTTACACCGAAAATTTAATATGATCTTAAATTAGTTTTAGATTAAATTACTCTTAAACAAGAAAAAGTTTAAAGATTTTTTTTGTAAATTTTTAATAAATTACAAACAAATTTTTTGAAAATTAATTTTCCTAAATGTTAACATACAATAAGTTAAGATTTAATAAAAGAAGTTGAAAAGAAAAAAAAGTAATCATACTTTAAATATTATATACAATGTATTTAAAAGTATATATATATATATATATATATATATATATATATATATATATATATATGAAAATAATATTAAAATTCGGGTTCGGGTTAACTCGGGTTGCTAGCACTTCAACCCAAGTCCAATCCTAATTAAATTCGGATTGAGATTTTTCAGCCCAAGCTCAACCCTAATTGTAAAAATGATTGCCCAAGCCTGTAAAAAATCGGGCTAGGCTCAGGTTGGGTTCGGTTTACCGAATCCAAGTTGCACCCCTAGTTGATGGTTGAGGATAGAAGTTTCTGTTGAAAAATAAACTTAATTTTAATATTTTGTATTTTTAAGTATTTGGTATGCACGATGCATGTATGCATTTACCATATTGGTGTTATAAGGTAATTGTCTTAAGTGGGAATTAGTGTGATTGTGGAAGTTATGTAAACCAAGAGACATGAAAGTTACGAGACTAGTAATGTTCATGTTAGGGGGAGTTAGTAGTGTAGTTAGACATTTAACTATAATAATTACACATATGTTAGTGAGACCTATATATATATATATATATATAATCGTGTACTCTAATTATTTTAGAAAGTAGAATAAAAGGAGATCTAAGTGAAATAAAATATTTCTTCCACCATTTCTCTTTCAAAGTTGCATTTGTTTGTAAAATCCACTTATTTCTAAAAGGTTCAACCTTATGATGCTATTTATCACTTAACTCAACCCTGCTCTCTTTATCCATCTTTCTTCTCCTTTTTGCTCTTTTTCTTAATTGTTCAATCTTTCTTTCTTCTTTTTGTTTCTTCTTCTTCTTGGTTAATAATCAGAAGAACAAAAATAAGATCAAGGATGAACAGAACAAGAAAGCAACAGCAGACATGGCGTTGTGCAAGTTGGTGAATCCGAGATTAGTTTTGCTACTTTCTTCTCCCCTTTCTTTTGTTGAATTAATAGGATTCCGCTTTAATAATTTTTACACACACATATAGACATGTATGGAAACAATTTTTCGGTAAGCTATTTTTCCTCATCTTTCTAAGTTGTTGATTTAATATGATTCCATGAATAAAAATTATAACTTAATTGTTTAATGTTCGATTTTTATATAGTGAAAAGTTTGTTCCTTTGATGTCATGGACTATTAGCAGTCTCGTGGGCCGTGGAAATTCTAGATAAGAGAGAGAGAAACAGGAGTCTGTGTGACGTGTGTGTGTGTCCAGAATGCATGAAAAAGAAAGTAGGAGGGCATCTCCATTCAATAAGAAATTCTGTATTGAGAAGGATTTGTAAGGGAAGATCTGATGAAGAAGAAATTAGTGTGTGTGTGTGTGTGTATTTAAGGAGAGTCCACTAATGAGATTTTTGGTATCTGAAATGGGAAATAGGAAATACTTTCTCTTTATTTTTTATTTTAAGATTGTATTTAAGGCTCTATTTTGAATGCTTTAAAATGAATGGATTTTGGTTTACTTATCTAAGGAGTACAAAAAGTTTGTCTAACTAGCTACTACAATAATGAAAAAGCATTATGCCAAAAACACCAAAAACAGAAATCCAAAAAAAAAAAAAAAAAAAAAAAAAAAATTGCAATCCATATTTTTCATCTCATTTGAAATTATGAAATTGTCACACACAGCTAGTCTTCAAGTCACAATTTAATATCTGTGTTTGTGTGGCAGTTTCTCGTTTGCGATTAACATCTCTTATTTACAACATTTGGGCAGAACGAAACCGTGGGGTATTCAAGAAGAAGAAGTTAACGGCAAACTCAATTCTATACAAAATACTTGAGTCAATTTGATTCAAATTGATGGCTGAACCTCCACTTGATTCCCCAATCAACAGACGCACGCATTGTATGCGGATGGGACATACCTTGGTCCATCCTCCGTTTCCCTCCAAAACCACCTGGCTAGGAATGAAATGGTGAAGCTCTCCGTTTCCATATCTGTTTGCTTCACCCAGTCGCTTCAATGGCTGTCTCACCGGATCTGAGAATAACTATCATGTATATGTACTCCGGAATGTGTTAGTCATGGTTTGGTTATCTTTGTAAAATGGTTTACCATTCTGCCTCTGTTTGATTGTTCTTGCTGGGTAATAGGGAAGGGTAGAATTATAAGTGATAATGACAGTGGTGCTTCCGTTGGCTTGTGATTAATTTCTTGGAGTGTTACCTAAGTATTCGTCTTTGTTGGACATGTATAGTTTTAGATATACATCAGCAAAAATAAATAAATTCTACTTATGATAGTTACTTAAAAAAAAAACATCAACAACTTTTTTATAATATATTTTCCAGATTTGGGCTTTCAAATCAATTACATCCTACTGCATGAAACATTCTATAATCATGCACAATTAAAATTTTGTAGTTTGCATACATTTATATAACATAAAACAAGAAAAAGGGAAGGGAAAAAATATTTAAATTGCTCTATGTGGCAACTCGAAGCGACACAAGGGGCACATGTGACTCCTTTTGAGCCACTCCAAAATGCAGACCGGATGGTATGAATGAGAACATGGCATGCGAGTCACTTCCGACCCAATAAACATATCATCTCTGCATATGACACACACTTTCCCTCTATCACTATTCTCTTCAAATTTGATTATCTCCAATCCCTCGATAGATGATGTACTTGCAGGCACTAATCTATCATATCCCAAGTACTCTCTCATAGTCTGATCCATCAATGACAAGAGCAAGTTTCTTTCATATCTTTGGTCCAAGTGAGCTTTCTTTGGTGCAGTGTTCCTCACTCTCATTGCTATTTCTTTCCATATGCCATCAAATTCCATACCAGGCCACACCCTTACGATCCAGGAAACAAATTTGTGAAGTTCGAGCACACGTTTTTCCATCTCCTTTGCGCGGTCCATTGCTTGGATCTCCTGACTAGGCAAAATCACTATTTTCTCAATGTTGATGTTCAAAACTAGTATTTTTCGGTCACAGTTTGAGAATTTAGTGACCGTCCAACGAGCATCATCCATGACTGTACTGACAAGATCGTCGAGCTTGTCAAGCTCATGCACTGTTTCGCGGTCATGATATGGTCTGTATTGAAATCCCTCTAATGGGAATGGTACGTTCATTCCAGAAATCATTTCGGATATCATATCGGAGGTTAGGGTTTCGCTTGGAAATTGCTTTGAGATTTGTGCGATGAGGTCTCGTCTGGTGTTGGTTTTGAAGGATCCATCCGAAGAGATATATTTTTTTTCCACTTTAAAATCTAGAGATAGTTGAATAGAAGGCAGTGATTGATCATTCCTTCCGCTAATAAGACCTAGACTCTTAACCTGCAACTTTGTTGCATCCATTAGGGGATAACTAAGAGGGACAGGTGGTGTGTGATAATACTAGTTACTACTTAGTGGATCGAGAGAGAGAGAGAGGGTGATGACAGTAGCTAATTATAGAAGAAAGACTGATATTTAGTTCGTAGGTCATAGATCATATATATATATATGGAAGGAACAGTATTTGAGTAGGAATAGGATAAAAGTGGATTTCGATTTGGATTTGGAAGCACTTGGGTACTAAACAGCATGCGTGTACTAAAGGCTTATGAAAGAATCCTAACTCTTTTAGGAGTGCGACTCTGATTTGGAAAGTTATAAAAAAATAAAAAAATAATTCTCAAATGGAAATCCAAGAAAATCCACCGACTTGACGAGTCCGTCGTCAACCGAATCGCCGCCGGTGAGGTCATCCAGCGGCCCGTCTCCGCCGTCAAAGAGCTCGTCAAGAACAGCCTCGATGCCCACTCCACCTCCATCAACGTCACCGTCAAGGACGGTGGCCTCAAACTCATCCAAGTCTCTGACGACGGCCACGGAATGCGAGTAACCCCTTACTCTCTCATCTTCTCCCAATTCACTACACTAGATACATATATACATATAGAGAGATTGATTCTGGAATTTATTGTCGTAGTGATTATTGTTGTTGGTTTTGATTAGTATGAGGATTAACGGATACTCTGCGAGAGGCATACGACTTCCAAGTTGTCTACATTTGAAGATTTACAGTCGATTAAGTCGATGGGGTTCAGAGGAGAGGCGTTGGCCAGCATGACCTATGTTGGTCATGTTACCGTCCCTACCATTACCAAAGGCCAATTGCATGGTTATAGGTATGAATTGTGGGCCCCGCCTGTTCGATTAAAGATTCACATAAAGCTGTTTTTACTCTTATAACTTTGGTTGTGACATACAAATATAACTGTGGATGAAGGTTACATATATTACGTACAAGTTACAATTCTCCCAAGAAAGGGGAAAAAGAAATATTGGATGTGACTTTGTGTATCTATATTTTTAGGGATCTGTTGTGTCATTTATCTTGCATTTGGCTTCAATTCTGTTTTATGGAAATAGTAATTTTTCTTTCTTTCTTTTTGTTGTTTGTGTGCCTTTTGTTTTAGGCCTTTCTTTGCATATGATTTTGCCACATGCATTGTCTCTGGCATGCATATTTATATATTTCTGAAAGTGGAAATGTGTTGTTCAGGGTATCATACAGAGATGGTGTGATGGAGCATGAACCAAAAGCATGTGCTGCTGTAAAGGGAACTCAGATAATGGTATGGACTGGATCTTTTGCCTTTCTCAACAAATATGAGAAAATCATTGCATTAGAATAATTGTGGATGGGTTAGGAAAATGTGAAAAACAATTGTAGGGGGTTAAGTACTGAAGTTTGAGACTGAGAAAACCGACGACGCCCAATAAATTTAACAATAAGGAAAGAGAAAAACAAAGCTGCGGAGAAAGGAAACTAATATATTATGATTGCAGAATTATTTGGAATAGTTCATGACTTCCCCCAAAAATATGAGAATTATAAATATCTTTGGGAAATTCATTGGTCATTGTGTTATTTGAATTGTAGGATACACTGTAAGTTTTATGAGACAAGTATAATTTACAAATTTTTTTTGCTCTAATCTATTTGTCTTGGATGTTGTCGTTTTTTATCAGATTGAGAATTTGTTTTATAACATGACTGCTCGGAGAAAAATATTTCAGAACTCTGCTGATGATTATCCTAAAATTGTAGATATCCTTAGCAGGTTTGCCATTCATCACATAAATGCTAGCTTCTCCTGTAGAAAGGTCTGTCTTTTCACCATTCATGCTCGTCTTTATCATGTCGTAAACTTTTCTTTCTCTCCTAACTTCTTTAACCTGATGAGAAATATTTCTTCATATTACTCTTCCATTGTATGCAGCATGGAGCTGCTAGAGCAGATGTTCACTCAGTCGCCATGTCCTCAAGGCTTGGTGCGATCAGATCTGTTTATGGGGTGTCAGTTGCTCGCAATCTGATGAAAATAGAAGTTTGTGATGATGATCCATCTACTTCAGTATTTGAAATGGATGGTTTCATCTCCAATTCTAATTATGCTGCGAAGAAGATAACAATGGTACTTTTTATCAATGGTATGTATCAGCAATATTATACTGGGATAAGATTTTTAATTTTGTGGTCTGTTTTTTCCCCCTAAATGGAATTGTATTAAAGAGAAAACAAAAAAGTACAGGAGGAGAAGTGAGGGCCTACCCTCACTTTACAAAATTCCATTTCCAGTAAACATAGAACAAGAAAATAAGAGAAGACATCAAAATAAAAAGCATTACATCCCATGCCAATCAGAAATCGAAATTCATGCAATATAAAAAAATCCCAAATTACCTTTGTTGCCGCAGCTGAAGCAAAAGATATTGATCTCTGATGAAGTGCCAAGTTCCTAGCCTTCCAAATGCCCCAAACTGCACTAGTGAACACCATTCTACAAATATGATTCTTCTGAGATTTATCTTTGAAAAGCATTGACTCCCCACTGAATCAACTGACCAAAGGTGGAGCTGGCGGGATAGACCCTCCAATACAAGCCACGATACACTGTCATACTTCTTGGGCAAAAATGCATTGCCAAAAAAACTCTATAACTCTCATGAATGGATAATATGTTTTGTTTGTTTGTTATGTAAATATTACTCTATAACTCTCATGAATGGATATGTGGTCAAAATCAAACCAATGTGCTGAATATTTAATTACCACACCATCCTTTTATAACATATTCAATCACTCTGTTATTTTATTTTATTTATTTATTATTTTTCTTTTTACCAAGTACATTGCCGACCCCTCCTGAAATGAAATCCTGGCTCCGTCTCTATGGGTCACATTTCGTTCTCCATCAAGACTAGTAATGCTCAGGATGTAAAATTTTAGGGAATTTGGAAGATGTTCATAAGTTGTCTTATCAAAAAGGGAACATGTTAATAAGATTGGTGTAAATGAAATGTGGGTGTTGAGATGGACGTGTAGCAAGATAACAAATGTTTCGGATACAATCACAAAAAGATAGAAGTAGAACCAATTGATGGTGAAGTGAAAGCAATTGGCCTAGAATCAAGATGGTTTTACCATGCATTATTGCAACCAATGAGGGCACTATGAAGCAAGAGTGAAATGTCCATGCCATAAATGTGTTTCTAGGATAAGGACATGGTGGCTCAGAGCAACTGAAACGTTGGAGCTGGATAGAGTGGAATGCTGAAGCATAAGTCATATGGTTAACCCCAAATTTTTTGGAAGAAGACTTTAGTTCTAAGTGGAACAGGACCAATTATCTATAACTTGAGCCTAGTTCGAGTTTGTTGTGGGCTTGGACTAATATTTATATACTTGGTTTGGGCTTGGGCTGAGGCTACAAAACCTTGACTGACGTGCTTGAAGCTTATTATTTTAAATTATCTGTGTGAACATGTGAAGGTTTTATGCATGTAAAATAAGAATAATTTTATTGCTTATGCATTTGTGTAGACAATGTGTTACCGAGGGGTACTACTTGGTAGAGGTCGCCTAGATTGCTTTACTTCATCGAGTATACCTTGAAATGAAATACCAACTAACTGTATTTGACAAAAGAACCAGTAATATTCTCTGCTGTTCTTTTTATTATTGATTGTTTTGTACTGGAATTTTTTATCTATTTAAGTTCGAGTGTGAATGAGAACATTGTATGTGGATATGCAGGTAAGTCTTTTGAATCAGGAAGTTATTATTGAAAAGATACAGTCTGCCGTTGAATCAAAATTGAGAAACTCCAATGATGCAAGGACATTTCAGGAACAGGTATATTGCAAACTTGGTGTATGAGCTCAAGTAGATACTTTTCAGCATTTGATAAGAAATTTTTTGGTTCTTTAAACTCAATAAACAGTTTGATTACTGCCCCTTGTATTACCTTAATGAGCTTTATGTAGGAGGGTATAATAACAGAGAGAGGGCACAAGTCATTCATGTTTCCTTCCATAGGACATGCTAGATTTTCTGGTGTTCCAAGTTTTGGTTTCTACGTTCTATATCTCTTTTTGTACCTAAATGTTCCATACTCTAGTTTACAATGATCTTATTACAAAATGCTGTATGATGGTGCAAAAGCACCAAAATAACCTAAGCTATAAATTACTGAAAACTAGATTTATTCCTACCAACCAATATGACCCCTCTTATGTCGCTCGATAGGCTAACATTCCATAACTGCACTTGATCATGGAATGCAGATACCAAGCCATTTTTTTTTTTTTTTTTTTTTTTTTCCTTAAGTAATAAATAAATAAAAAGGCGTTCAAAAGAGAAACGTGTCCCTTATACAAAAGTGGAACCGGGGACTAAGGCCCTAAAAAATCCAAAAAACTAATTAAATCATTGGAAGAGGAGCAAGAACTCCTCTTCACATAATTGAAAAGAGAGCAAATAATGAAAAGTTTCAGCATCGCCGTAGACTCCTTCCCTTCGAACATTCTACTATTTCTCTCCTTCCAGATGCACCACCAAACTCAATGTGGGACAATTCTCCAGTAATCGCATACATCTCTTCTCACATGACATCCTCTCCAAGCATGAATCAAATCCTTAGAAGAACGTGGCATTACCCAACGCATGCCAAACAGCCCAAGAATAAGATTCCAACAGTCGTGCGCCACGGGGCACAGTGCATGAGGATATGATCAACTGACTCACCATCTTGCTTGCATAGGCAACACTAATTAACAAAACAATTCCCCCTCTTCCTCAAATTATCCATCGTTAATATCTTACCCCATACAATGGTCCAAACAAAGAATGCCACCCTAGTTGGAGCCACAGAACGCCGAATGGTCTTCCACGAAAAGTCAAGGCTATCAAAATTAGAAAGACATAAGAACAAAGATCACACTTCGAAACGACCATGGGAAGAGGGAATCCATGTCAGATCGTCACTACCTCTGCCAACTCCTTCATGCCGATATAACTGATCCAGAAGAACACATACCTCGTCCAACTCCTAATCCTAAAAGGAACGCCGAAAGTGCACGTCCCACATAATCCCACTATTATCAAGCCGATAATAGTCAGCTACGTAGGCATGTCTATCAACTGCAATACTGTATAGTTTGGGAAATGTACGAGATAATGGCTGGCCACCACACCAAAGATCTTCCCGGAAATGAACACATCTACTGTCACAAACTTTGAATCTGATATGAGGAGAGAAGACATCCCATCCCTTCCGAATGAATTTCCACACCCCGACTCCTCCCACAAAAGAAACCGGATGGGTAGACAAACCGCCAAACTTTTTTCCAAACCGACATGAGACTAGCCTTCGCTAAGGATGATGTCTTTCCCTCCCATATCTCCACAACCATTTTCCTAGGAGAGCTTGGTTAAAAGGAACCAATCTTCTGATGCCAAGACCACCCAACTTCATAGGCTTGCAAACTTACTCCCATTTGACAAGGTGATAACTCTTCTCCCCTTCCACCCCAAAGGAAATCCTTTTGAATTTTTTCAATCCTATCAGCAATGGAGCCCGGAATTTGGAACATAGATAAAAAAATTTATGGGAAGGCTCGATAAAGTGCTCTTTACAAGAGTAACTTTACCCCTCTTAGACAAGTATTGCTTCTTCCATCCTGCCAATCTCTTCGTATACCTGTCAATCATAAGATCCCAACTCCCCGCTCTCATAGAAGAAACCTCTAGGGGCAAACCCAAATAACTAATGGGAAAAGAACTCACCTTACACCCAAGGACTGCAGCTAAAGAAGAAATATCCTGAACATTCCCTACCGGGATAAGCACGCTCTTAGCTACGTTGACCTTCAGCCCGGAAACCGCCTGAAAACAATCCATGATGCACCTCAAATATCTAAGTTGAGACACATCAACATCACAAAAAACCAGGGTATCGTTCGCAATAAGTAAATGAGAAATCTCCACCTGATGGACTAAAAACCTTCTCACCCTAAAGCCCTTAATAAGACTAAGATCCTCTGCCCTTCGCATGGGTCTGCTTAAGCCCTCCATAACAATTAGAAAAAGGATAGACGACAAAGGGTCTCCTTGTCTTAAACCCCGAGTACACCCAAAAAAACCAACGGGAGATCTATTCATAAGAACTGAGAACTTGACAGACGAAAGATATGTCTCAATTCATTTCCTCCATCTACTTCTAAACCCCATTCTTTGTAACAAATATAGTAGGAAATTCCAATTCACATCATCATACGCTTTCTCAATAGCAAGTTTGCATAAAACTCCAAGAACACCACTTCGCAATTTGGAATCCACACATTCGCCTGCAATAAAAACTGAATCTAGAATTTGCCGTCCTCCGACAAAAGCATTCTGGGAATCCGAGATAATCCCATCCATTACTTCCCTCATCCTTAGAGCAAGCACCTTAGCCACGAGTTTGTAAATACAACCCACTAAGCTAATTGGTCTTAAATCCTTAATGTCAGAAGCGCCTCCCTTCTTAGGGATAAGGGCAATGAATGAGGCATTTAACAACTTTTCAAGTCATTCTACTGATACCATGTCATTATTTGAACCTAACATCGCAAAGTAACCTAATACCATCTCAATAGATAGGTTAACCTTTGACGTTTATATATCTAAATAGTAGCAATGTAATTGCAAACGTGGGACACTTATAACGTAGATAAGGTGTGGAAACAGTAGTTTTTGTTTTTGTTGTTGTTGTTGTTATTTTTTTTTTTCTTTTTTTTCTTTTCTTTAAAATGGAAAATAGCTGCAAGTTCTTCTGACCTGCATTATCTGTTGAGTTCCTTTCTCTCTCTCTTTCTCTACTTCTGTCTATCTATCTTTATCCTTCTCTAAATTAAGAATTCGTACTTCCTGTGCTGGTGCTGTTTCTGCTTTGCTCTGCATTTTGGGGAAATACGTACTTCCAAAACGTTTCCCTTATTTTGGACATCTTTGGTTTCATGTATGAGGCAGAGCCTTGATCCCTCTCCATCCAGTCTTGTGCCTACAACCATTAGTCCACCTTCTGGTATGCAGAATTTTTTCTTTTTTATTTCTGTTGGCTGGACTAAACTCTTGGCATGTCTAATAAGTATATTTGTTTGTTCCATATTGTTGCCTCGTCCTTTACAGGTTCAAAATTGCAAAAGGTTCCAGTGAATAAGATGGTACAGACTGATTCACTAGATCCTGCTGGAAGGTTACATGCCTACTTGCAAGCTAAGGCTCCTGGTCAACTTGAAAGAAACTATAGCTTGACCTCTGTGAGATACGTTCTATATGTTCATCCATATAACTTCAATTACTCAGACAGACACTTCTATACGCTGTTACAGATAGGTGTGAAAATTGCATAAGCATTGATAGTTAGCAAACCATGTGGAGCAAAATGAGTCACTGTTTAGTCAGTATTTCTCTATGTGGAATATAAATAAGGATCGTTATTATTTTTACTCGTTATTATGTTTATTTCGGGATTAGACCTACTAAAATCAAGGTATCAACAATGGAATGCACAAATCCAGTTTAACACAGATGAGAGCCGTGACACCCAAGGTCCACTAGCTTCATGATCCTCCGCGACTCCTTGATCCATGATCATTATGGTTCTGTGACCCTTAATTGTTTGACTTCTGACATTATGATTTCATAATTGAAACCTCCTACTGCAGTGATGTTGTTGTGATTATTAATTCAATTGCACACAAATACCATAAATATACACCAGATAGTGCAGGCTCGAGACTGGTTGATCATAATAGAGTGACACTACCCAGAGATATAATGAGCAAAACCCATGATATCATAATGATATATTCCTCTTTGTTATAGCAGAAGATGAAGGAGATAATGTTTTATTATCTAATCAAGTTAATTATTAAAATTCTCTGCAATTGAGTTTTAGAAGTTGAGTAATTGGAAGATGTAGCCAACTTCTAAAAAGTTCTTTTAAGTTTTTGGGTGGATATCTGGAGGATAGTTTGGTTGGTTATAGACTGAAGGTTCATTTTGTAGGGAAACGTGCAAGTTTTAAAAACTTTCTGAGGGATTTTCATACATAAATCTTAATTCATTTTATATATTTAAGTTTTATGCAAAACTAAAATATAATGTATCATTCAATTAATAGATTGAATACTTACATCAAGGTTTGAGTAAACTTAGATCTCTTCTCTAAAGTGAATGTTCTCACTTATTGTAGATCCCTTTGCTACATGCCTTTTCTATGGATCTCCATCTTCTTGGTAATGGTCTTGCCTTTAGAAATCACTCATAAGCCTTCATGAATGACCTAGAAAAAATAGGCTTGTGGGAGCCTCTATCAGATGAGAATACAAACCCTAAAAATATAGAGAGAGAAAATATATTTTTCCTTTTCTTCTCAAAAGTGACCCTTAAAATATACATGAATCCATGTATATATAGGCAACATAAAAATAAGAAAAGGAAATAATAAATCATTCTCAATCTCTAATTCACATATCTAAAATCTAATAAGATTCCAATATCAAGTTGGGCTATGAGTGAGAATTCTATTGGGCTTATTATTTTCTTGACTACAATGAATTAATAATTGACCCAATTCATGGACCCAATTCAATTAATTTCTACTCCACTAAAAGAAATTAATTGAACTCCAATTAAATAATAAATAACCTCTAAGTCAATGTTGCACTTTGACCCCTCTATGCAGAATTAGTTATCGGATAAATAAAATCATCAATCCGACTACTTAATTAATATATTTATTTTGGTATATTTGATTATTTTTGGCTTGATCACAATAAAACATTTGTTTGACAAAAATAATAATTTAAATAAATAAATATATAATAAATCATTTTGTCTAAAAACACACGAAGACCTTCGAATTTACTTTGTGATCAACCATAATCAATACAAAATAAATACAAGTAGCAATGATGCAAATATTGAAAATATAATCCTCTAACTATTAATTACATAATTACCCAAAGTGCCGGTCTAAGGATTCCGAAGATTCCGCCGAACAAATCAAAGTAACAACTAATTAATAAAAGAGTCTATACTTCTCTCATGCTTAAGAGTCAAATGCCATGACGGTGATAGGGAGCAATTGCATTCGACGGCTCTCGCAATATTTCTCAACCTAACGCGGATCTAGTTCAAGTCTTAGTTAATAATGAGTCCATCTATAATTACCGACTATGAACAATTTATTATTACTATTTATATTCATGTATTAATCACCATCACATACATATATAAATATCTTTTGTAATCAAATGTACACTATCAATTCTATAATGAATCGAAATATAATACATTGAATTAACCAATTATATAAATCATAAATATTTCAGATATGTCAGGAACATATGTCACTATAATCCAAATAGGAATTTGCTATGCCAGGGCATATAAATCCCAACAGCTCCCACTTGCCCTCATAGCCAATTCGAATTACATCTAACTTCAATATTATCCAGGCGATGATCAAAACTATTGATCAATGACACCTTTATTAATGGATCAACAAAGTTATGTTTCAATGCAATATTCTTGCCACGAGTACATTTTCTTGCCAGATAATATCATGTAGGACATGATACTTCCTCTCAGTGTACCTTGTTCCTCTATGGAACCTTGGGTCATAGGTTTAAACTACTTCTGCACTATTGTCGCAATATAGCTCAATAGACAGGCTAGTATGCTCCACAACCTCTAAATCAGTGAGATCAAACCAAAAGGCTTTCTTTGCTGCCTTTAAGGCTGCAATGTACTCCACCTTCAGGTTTGAGTTAGCAATTGAAAATTGCTTAACAATCTACCAACTAATTTCCCTTCCATTGAGAGAACATACACTAAGTCAAGAACCTCATAGTATCTATATTTGATTAAAAATCAGAATCAGCATACCTGACTAGAACCATATCATCACATCTATAAATGAGTATAAGATCTTTGGTTCTCCAAAGGTATTTTATGATATTTTTCACAACAGACCAATTATCAAGTCCAGGATTGGATTGATATCTACTGACTTTCCCTACTTTGTAGCGGATGTCTTGTTTGGTATAGACCATGGCATATATGAGAATCCCACATGCCGAATCATATTAGTACAGTCTCATCTCCTCTACTAGTCTTGAACAACTACTTACTAGAGAGCAATCCATGTCAATAAAATAAGAACTCATTCTTTGAGTTTTGCATACCAAACCTGGTCAAAACTTTATAAATATAGGATTATTAAGATAAGCCTATTTTCCTTTTAACTTGATTTTGCAAAAGCTTGATCCTAGGAATATAGCTTACATCTTGAAGATCCTTCATTTCAAAGTAATTAAACAACTACTTCTTTACTGGTGATGAAACTTCCACATCATTCTAAATGAGTAGGATGTCATCAATATATTTATAGAATTAGAAAAATAATGACATTACCCTGTACACACATGGTCCATTCACTAAGAAATCTTCTGATATCCTTTTATAGATTAACTTACCTTCCATAGGTATCACCTTACTAGAAAGTTCTACAAGATCCTAGATTTTATTAGAATACATTGATTCCAACTCTGATTTTATAGCAACTTGCCAAAATGATCTATATCCATATCAGTTCACGTTTCAATGTAGCTTACTGGGTCCAACTTATGTTTAACAGGGATGTCTATAAAGGTCTTACCTAAAAACATGATTCTGTCGGATTAGATGATAATCCTTCCACTACATCAATGTACCGATGCAGGAATCTGTGTACTAAATGATGCCGACGCATCAATAGAGAATTCATAAATATTTCTTAATTTCTATAATAAGTGTGTTCATATGTGGTACAACTGGTACTAATACCATATTCTCTAACATTATGCTACTAGGTATATGATTCATAATATGATCCTCCTATAGATAAACAGTGAGTGTAAACAATCAACTTTTATCATTGAGATCATAAAATAATCTATCTCAGTGCCTTTAGAGTAGCCATCAAATCAAGCATGCCTATGATTTGCTTCCAACTTACTTGTCCATATCAAATGCACATGTGCAAAACTACGCCATATGTGCATGTGATTCAAACTAAGATTTAGTAAAAAACACAGCTCAAAAGATATCCTTGAGACAGACTAAGATGGAATTCAATTCATAGTGTGCATTAATATCGTTAAGGCTAAACTCTAAAATGAAAAAAATAATGAAGCATAGCTGATCATAGATCTAACCATGTTAAGCAGAATTTTGTTATTCCTATTAGACACCTCAATTTATTGAGCGTCAATTGCAGAAAAACTGGTACACAACACCCTCATTGACCACATAGTCTTTGCACTATCCCAAGAAATACTTATATCCACGATAAGATCAAATTCTTTTGATAAGTTTCCCTAATCTGTGCTCCACATGAGTCTTAACATTTCCGGAATATACCAAAAGTTTAAGACTTGTGTCGCGTCAGGTAAATTTATCCAAAACGTGAGTAATCTTGCTTGGATGTTCATAAGACCACACGTGTCAGTGTGTACCGACTTCAATTGTTCTCTATGTCTATTTCATTTGGCTGATTAAAGCCCTTAGAGTTATCAATCATTCAATACAAGATTCACAAGTTGGTTTAGGCTCCCCTACCTCACTAGGTAATAAACCTTCTTTGACCAATCTTTGAATCTCATTTTGACTGATCACAACCTAAAAATAGACACTAAAAATACAATGAGTCAAGAATAACAAATTTTCTCTTAACATTTAATCTAGAAGATGCAACATTAGTTTTTACATCCTACAAATATTAAGAGCTGGTGGTTATAGTATATTAACCATCTTTCAATGCACCAGAAGTAATCGCACATCTCTTCAATTTTATAAAAGCAGTTTTACCAAAAGTAACAGCACAGTTTTTATAAACCAAAAGTGAAACAAGAATGAAATTGCGTCTAGCATCTGTGCATAAAGATAGTTCTCTAATACTAATATCCTTATACTTTCTAATTTCAGATGTAATACTCTCACTGACTTAGCTACAACCTTGGCATCAGGTCAAAAGACAAATATATATCCATATCATCGAGGCTTCTGGATTTCTGAAATCTTTGCAACAAATTGCAAACATGTTTAGTGGATCTAGAATCTATCCATCAGGAACTAATAGATACAATCACATAACATGACTTAATGATTAAATATACATTTTCCTATGCCACGTCATTGTTTAAACAGTTCATCTTTTAATGTCTTAATTAGCGGCAAAAGAAACAGTTTCTTTCGCCCTCAACATACACTGCCTTATTCCCTTTAACCTTTTGGATACCCATGTTTTGTGCTAGCCTAGTCCTATTATCATCCTTCTTCTTTCCTTTGCCCATCCACTTAGGCCTAGAAGAAGATAGTATAGACTAGGTTAGATTGATAGGAATGCCCATACTTTTGATTATCCCTTCATATGTTACCAATTCTATAAGAATATCAGCGAGTGTGAACTCAAACTGGTTCCTTATTTAGTTCACTCTAAAAGAGTTGAAAGAGTTTTGGTAACAAGGCAATAATTATGTCAACTTGA